AAGAGAGAAAGATGACACATCAGACACATTACTTTCTTCCACTGCTTAGAAGTTCTGGTTTTGTTTCCATTACACCAGGTAATGCATTACTGTGCACTGGCCTTGGTTATAAGTAATTTCAGAATGGCAGCCCTACCACAAATATCACATTTGTGAAGCTCACAATGTACAGTTTTTGTTGAGATTGTGCCAGAGGTGTACTGTAAGTTCAGTTTTATGGTACTTTTTGAGGCTCTTCATGGTTTTTATCAACTATCCTGTTAAATGTCTGTCTATCCCTGTTTCTGAGCTTCAATTTTTTCATTTATGTGACTGACGCACCTGCAATTCAGGTACTATTTGATCTCTTTTTTTAGTTAGATCTCTCATGTTGCTTTAGAAACTCACATACTAACATGTTGATTGTATACTGGTAAACATACTGGCAATTAGCTTGTAAACAAATATGAAAGGTGAAGAATCCTTTTAAATTGTGATTTAGTTACTTCAAAATATGAGTCATTTTTAGTTTGGCATTTCCATTATCTTGTCCACCCCAATTGAAAATGTGTGGATGGTGGAAGGGTATTTTAGAGTTGAAGTGCTCAGTGCTGAGAAAAACAAACAAAATACTGATTATATGGATGGTCTCACACTTTGGTCTCACCTTCATCTACAGGTACTTTATGGTTTTAGTTCCTTCTGAACTATGTAAACTCTATTTTCATAGAACGTGTAACTAGATGAAGGTCTTTATAACTCACTTTGATATTTTTAAAAGCAAATAGATGCCAAAACAGAACTAAATGAATATGAGGGAAACACAAATTATTAAAAAAATATTACATAACATTCAAATTAATTAAATATGGTCCCTGGCAGCTTCTAAACTCCAGTTTACTTATTACTTATAAGTTTTTATAACTCAAAATAACAAGATACGCATCTACACTATTATACTGCATACTGTACTGTATCTCTGGCTACGTTTTTTATTTGTTTAAGGTAAGACTGGCTATTTTGGGAGTTAATTAGGAAGCTCCACACTGCTGCTTTAAAATATACAACTAAACTGTCAACACAGCAGATATGAATTTAAATCATTTCTGGGTCTTATAATAATGTAGTAAAGTTTGAACAAACAACCCCAGGGTGAGGTTTCTCAGAACAGCCAAAACCATTCTCTTTTTAACAGCTGATAGAACACATGACACTTTTCGAGCAATTTGCATCTGCAGCTTATCCAAATCTTTGCAGTTGCTTAAGTGTTTCAAGGCTCCTTCACTACATCACAGTATATCTTTTTTATCCTCTCATGGTCAGCCAGATCTGCTTGTCAATCCATATAAGGAAGCAGACTGCTGTTCGTACATATAGGATAAAGTGAAATCCTTACATGTAGGAAACAATGGCATGACCCCGCTGCAAAGATTCTAATTCAGAAGAGCTTAGGAATTTTATAGCCTCTGTCATATAGGAAAACAGTCTTTTATGTGGCATCACACTGTATTAACAATAATTATTATAACGGGCTACCATATAAGAGAACATAAAAACGAAACAGATCTTGGCTTCATACTGTAGGTTCCGAAAGCAAGGAAAACATCTGATATACAGAAGCAGATGTTTCTTTAATCTCAGACATTATGATAACACATTTTCAAAATAATTACGGGAATATTACAAATCATGTTGTGTTAAAGGTTTTTAAAATTCTGTTTTAGGCATCTTTGATTCAAAACAAAAGGAATTTTCATTACACAGCTTTAAAAATAACAATGAAAGAAGAATGACTTCACCAGTTTCTGTAAAACCTACCAAATGAATAATTTTAAGGCAACTGCACTGTATTTAGTGACATCTGTTTGCTGTGAGAGATTTTCTTCTTGTCTGTGTACTGCCTCATGTTTTAGAAAAGCTGGGGTATTCTTCTCTTGGCAAGAAATAGGCTTGTCATATTTAATTACAAATAAAACTTTCTTGCAGTAAACAGACTCAAAAATAAAAAAAAAAACACTAAAGGTATGTTGACAACTATTTAGTTTAGAAACATTGTGCTTATCATTAAAACATCAGCTTATTTAACACATTTACCAATACTTTGGCACACTTTAAGCTAGACTTAAATTTAATTGTGGTAGAATAATTATTTATATTTTGTTATTGTTGTTCTGTGATTGCATAATCTGAGATCAAATGTGCAGCATCTTGAACTAATATGGAAAAACCCTTATAAGATCTATTTGGTTCAGACAACTCAAATACACACATTTTTTAAAATCAGTGGGAGTAGTTTCTTCATTGGTTATCAATTTTGAACATGTATTAATCTCTTAATAGATATTTCTCCCTTTTCAGCAAATAGTGAATCATATTACTAAGTATTATATTAGCATTGTTACCTTTAAATTAAAAGTATTTTAACTGTAAGATATATTAATCTAATATAATCTAATATATTAATGCGCCAGCAGCCATATCACCCAGCAACTCACAACTGGTAACCCACTGAAGCTAAGCAGGTGTGAGCCTGGTCAGTACCTGGATGGGAGACCTCCTGGGAAAAACTAAGGTTGCTGCTGGAAGAGGTGTTAGTGGAGCCAGCAGGGGGCGCTCACCCTGCAGTCCATGTGGGACCTAATGCCCCAGTATAGTGACGGGGACACTATACTGTAAACAGGCACCGTCCTTCGGATGAGACGTAAAACCGAGGTCCTGACTCTCTGTGGTCCTTAAAAATCCCAGAGTGCTTCTCGAAAAGAGTAGGGGTGTAACCATTGGCCCTCACCAATCATGGCCTCCTAATAATCCCCATCTATGAATTGGCTACATTACTCTGTTCTCCTCCCCACTGATAGCTGATGTGTGGTGAGCGTTCTGGCGCACTATGGCTGCCGTCGCATCATCCAGGTGAATGCTGCACATTGGTGGTGGTGGAGGGGAGTCCCCATTACCTGTAAAGCGCTATATAAGTGTAAGCAATTATTATTATTAATTATATAAAAAATACAAAAGCAGCTTTTCTGAATGGGTTTATCAGGTATGCCTTCTATAACTATTGGGAAAAGGCAGTTTTGTAAAATGGGAACTGCCAAAGCTGTCAGGCGGTCATGTTAAAGATTGCCAAGATCCCACTTCCCTGGCCAAGACTCTTAGCAAGATGCTTATTACAAGAAATTTGATTCACATTTCACCACATCTTTTTAATCAGTTCCATACTCAATTTTTAAAATGTAATAAAAATGAAAATATAGTTTACAGCTCTAAGCAACACTACCATCCCTAAGATGTTCAGTTTAAGAATGTGTGATGTAGGACCTCTATCCATACTCGTTTGTTTTATTAATTGATTAGTGAAGCTTTATGCCAAGTCTGCTTTTGATTAATTCTTTAAGTCTGGGAGACATAGTTCTTACTTTACACAAACTTGTTGTTACTATTACCAGTTTAAGTTCCCTTTAAGGACATACAGAATAGCTTCTCAAGTGAGACCCTTATCGTATTGCATCTGAAGAAAATATATGGTTTAAGACTATAGATTACAGTGTATTTTCTGAGATAAAGAAGTTTAATGGGAAGGTCTTTTGGCCAGACAACAACATTCCATCACTAAACCATCATAACCCAAAAATAAAAACTAATCAGGGGGAGAACAAGCATCATGATGAAAAACATTGGTCCAGAATTTCAAGAATTAGTACAAATAACTTCTGGACCAAGGACATATAAAGACAGGTTAAGGGAATTGAGCCTTTTTAGGCAAGAGAAAATAAGACAACAGAGATTTACTGCAGTTTTAAAAAATCTAAAGAAAATCCAAAAGCTCAGGCCTTACTACTTCAAACAAGGCAAGGAAAACTGGGCCCATTTAAAAAGTGAAAAAGAAAGTAGAGACATATTGTAGCACTTCTTTATAACGGAGATTGTGGAGTCACAAACACAGTGTAATCATGGTTTTAATTATCCTCGATCCATCTAAACACAACTGGATTATATTCTGGTGTCTACTAAAAAGAACAATGGGCCAGATTGTCTCTTTTTATTCATCATCCTTCTTATCTTCTTGTGCACTGATTTTCTAAAACAATGAGTCCACAAATGCCAGCAGAAGTTTTTAAATGATTTTATTTTCTATTCCCAGGACTTTTCTACATTAAATTACTCACGTGTGGAATTACTCTATGACCATAAGGTCGTATCTTAAATTAGGTCAGAAACCATGTATTCACTAAAGTACCATCCACATATTATAGTGATTTAAATAATTATTAATTGGTATTGCTCTCTGATGCTGTTCTGTTGGCTTTATTGCTGTTTCAGTGAAAGAAGATAAGTCAATGCTTTTTGGTCCGGTGTGACACTATCTTTTGGGCTCTCTCTTTATCATTTTCTGTTTTATAAGAGCCTTCCTCAGGTGTGAAACATGTTTCTTTTGCAAGTAAGTGCTTCCAGTGTTGAAGAAGATGTGTGGGTTACAAATACTTAAAATGAAAAGAAAACTTTAGCTTTTATGGAAAAGACTTAATCACAGTACAATATTAAAACAACAATGCAATATCATTAAGCACAAGCTATTTTTTATTCCACTGTTCTGCTCTGGAAAAAAAAAATTAAAATGCCCACTATTTAATGGCTTTTTAAAGATATGAATGTTATTTCTGCAACTCAGAAGTGACATCAGACTTCTCTATTAGGGCTTAAAAAATAGGTCCTTCATAATGAGCTAAATTCATCTATTAAGCATGGAATGAGAGGGAAAGGTCAATGACTAAAAAACAGTTTACTAAACAGTTTTTCTTAAAACTCAAGGTTAAATCTCTTTTTCCATAAAAGGTCTGTTGTAATGTCCTTATTTTAGGTTTGAAAAGTACAAGGCATTGTATGCTGGTACCAGTACATTCCTGTGGCTTATCCTTGTTCCACCTGGTTTCAGAAAACTGAACTGAATGAATAACACCTCTGTAGTCAGCAAGACTTCTGGTATTTGGATTGTGTCTGAGGCACCTGGGCCTAAGCCTTACCTTTCTGCCTCAAGACGCATTTCTTCACGCTTCTGCCTCCTGAGTTCTCTGCGGCGCTCAAAGTCATCCATAATGGGTAAAGATAGGTCTCAAGATCAGATCTGCAACAAAAGGTATTTATTCAGTTCTGTAATATTTTCACGATGTGCAGTGTTCTGACCTTATTAACATGAATGCTGTAACAAACTTACTTATAACATCATCACGTTTGGGAGTGTAATCAATAGTAAAGATTTTCTTTAAATGTATACAATCACAAACTTCTACTTGAACCTGAACGTGTTAATGGCTTGCTTAACAAGGTTAACTGTATTCTTTTTAATGAAAAAAATTCAGTTGAATGTTTTTGAATTCTGGAAACTGATTACTAGATTACAATTGAACCTGAAAGTCTACCATGATGCAGTGCATCATGCTTGTCTTCAAAATGTAACAGAAAGAATTATGATAGACAGAATTTCATTAGTTAGAATAACCTTATGCTACAGTAGCAACATCACAGAACACTTTCCATGGCTGAAGTAGTTTAACTGTGGCTTCCATTGTTTACCCTGTTCTGTTTTTCATTTTGTTTAGTAATGGAATTTTTAGCTCCAAGGTCCAGATATTTAAAAAATAACATGCACTCAACAAAGAATTGTTTATGAGTTGTCAAATGCCACACTGATGATCTGGAATCTCAAGGCTACCTTGGTAAAGTAAGCTTTACAAAAGAAACCACTCAGTTTAAGTACACTGCTGTTGTGTATGCCTACCTACACTGAATCCTCTTTTTGAAGATCATGTCTTCATTAAAGTTTTGTCTCTGTAAGGACATAATCTGCATTTCACATTAACATCTCTCCTAATCTTCACCTTCATATCACATATATGCTAGGGCTGTATAAAATGTGTCATATAAATCAAGGCAGGAAGGTATATACGTATCTGTGCTGGTATACATAAGAGGTACAGCTATAAGTCTGTGGAAGGGGTACCTTTCCAATCTGGTCTCTTACACAATTTTGCTATAACCATCTCCTTAATTATTTTATTGATAATTAAAAAGATTAGTATAGCATTAATCGAGCTGGATACATTAAAGAACAGCAATGGAGCAGATTGACATAGCCATGAGTAGAGATGTCCTGGTCTATGGAATGACCTTATTAGAAAGACGAAAGGAGGGGTACTGACATCTTCACTGTGAACTCTAAAAGAAACCAAATTAGAAAGCCAGACATGGGAGATCTATCTTCAAGAATAAACACTGATGTGAAAAAACATTGACAATTATTTCCTGCATGAAAAATGTACAGTGCCTTGAACTTATAATCCAGGGTGTCAAATATTTCTCATAATAAATTTCTTTTTTTTCTCAATGAAGCATTCAGTTTTAACTACAGGTGCCTGTGACATTAACCTGACTTGAGTGCACATAATCTGTAATTAACATATCTAATCCACTGCTTTAAGGATATGTAACTAGGTAAAACCTAGACCAGGCTACAGCTAAAAAGATTTTGATTTCATGACTCTCTAACTTTAGAAACTCAAAGAGGAAACACTGCTAATTCTTTTGCTTTTGTTTCAATGTGTCAATTGCCTTTTTGCTTTTTACAGTATATACTGTATATATATTAATGTTAGATCTGCAGTGCTCATAAACCTGTGAAACTAAAACGTGTATAGTGTCTGGTATTAAGGGAAGGGCTCTGCAGTTTGTCCAGCAATACTTCATTAATATCTATGATTAAGTTACCCACATTAACTATTTGTTAAAGAATTAAAGTTACTACTACCTCACAAACTTAATTGGCTATATGATCGATTGAACATAAGCTCTCCAAAGTAGACATACAGATATTATTTCTTCTGTGCATACTGGTTAGTTCACTAACATGTATGCAAAACCTCTGAAGCATTCTGGCACTGCAGATCCAAAATATGCAATTTAGAGGAAATTGCAGCCACAAATGAGACATCATTATATTTTTTTCTTATATTATTGAAGCATGAAAAGGAATTTCATTTTCTTTTCCAAAGCAAATTTCTCCTAGACTTCCACAAAAAAGCTACCCTCACTGCAATGATTTCCATGTTACAACAAGAACATATCAATGTCTCCTTAGAAATTCTAAGATCCATACACCCTACCATAATCTTGATTTTGAAAAGCTTTGTTCTTTGCAAAAACAGTCTTTTTTCCTCTCAAACATATATAATTCAATTGACTACAAGCTTGTAACAGTCGAAAAAAAGTTTAACATATGTACATGGCTTGAAAACTAAGTAGACTAAAAAAATACAGCTTAAGAAAAACGTGGTTAATAACACCACAGACATGAGAGAAACATACACACACATACTAAAAAAAAGCAATGGATATATGAGACTGAAACAGACCACCCAAGAGATACTGAGTCTAACATCATAAAGCAACTTTCTGTGAGCAATCTTTCTGGAAAAAATCCCCTGCCTTACCTTTCCTTTTGCGGTGCTTAGTACATCGACTGTTTCTCTTCTTTTCACCCCCCACCGCCTCCTCAGTCTGGTTTATATCCCACAAGTGCTGCAGCACAAAGAATTCCTGCTCAGTCCTTCACCAGAGAGGACTACCAGAAAAGGGAAAGCCTGCCTCTCTCCTCTCCTTCTAGTTGTCTCTCTCTCTCTCCCTCACTCCCTCTCTTGCTCTTTTTGTTCCTGCTTTGTTTACAGAGCTGTCACTGGTTAGCTAAACTCTGCCTGGAATCTGGCATTTAAGGCCAGCTCTTAGATTGCTTCCTGCTTAGTGCTGGAGGCCTCAACTTCCTCTGGCATCCTGGCCTAAACTACTCAGCACGTTCTTTTGCAGCTCACAGATAGGACCATCTCTGAGGCAGTGCCGAAACAGGAAATAAGTAAACAGGGCGGCGTGTTCTAATCTACTAGCAATATACCGTATCATAATCCCGTATTCATAACATCACCTTTTGATAGGTGTGTTTGGTAAATAATAGTTTTAGAGTTGCAAATGCCAGTTGAAACAAATATGTGGTATTGATACTGAATTAATCATCAACAGCAGACTTGCAACTATACTGAGCTCTTAACGAAATAATTAGAACTACCAGCTATCAACATATAAATGTATATTTTTCAACACATATTATGTCTGGTTTGACAGTAATTTTTACATTAAAAATTATGTTTATCAAGCACATTAAAAATCTTTCAAATATTATATATATATATTATATTATAAATGTCTACAATAATTACTCATTAGTGTAGTGTTTTTTACACCTACATTATTAAGACAAATGCATTTACCAATTCCAAATGATCTTTTACAAAATATAACAAAATAACACATTATTACAGCATTTACACCTATTGCCTCCAACAATGTTTTAATGTACAGTAGTATTAAGTGCAATAATACATTTCTAGAGTTACTTATATACAGTACGTCTGTATTGGGTGAACCATATAGGAATCACAGCCCTTTTTATACATAGTCCTCCCATTTTTGGGGGACAAAAAGTAATTTGACAGTTGGATGCTCAGTTGTTTCTTGACCAACTGTGTGTTGTTGCATCTTTAGTTCATGCACAAGAGAGCTAACAAAAGGTTGAATTGATTCTAGATGTGACATTTGCATACATTTAATCTGCTGTTGTTATCTCTCAACATGAGGCATTAAGAAGTGATAATGCCATTAAAGTGGGCCATCATGAGGCTGAAAATTATGAATAAATCAATCAGAGACATAGCCAAAACATTAGATGTGTCAAAATGAACTGTTTGGGACATTAAGAAGCAAGAACACACTGGTGAGCTTAGCAAAAGCAAACGACCTGGTAGACCATGGAACACCACAGTAGTAGATGACCAAAGAATAGTTTCAATTGTGAAGAAAAACCCCTTTTTGACTGTTGAACAGATCAGGAACACTCTCCAGGATCTAGGCATAGATGTGTCAAAGACTACCATACAGAGAAGAATACACCAGCGTAATCTCAGAGGGTTCACCACAAGATTCAAGCCACTGGTAAGAAAGGCCACAAAAGGCCAGGTTAAAGTTTGCTAAGAAATACGTAAAAAAGCCTCTAGAGTTCTGGGACAAAGCCTTATGGACAGATGAGACGAAGATTAACCTGCACCATTTTATGTAAGATTATGTTAGTGTTCAATTACTTTTGGTCCATTCAAATGGGGTCCATGTCCATGTATGAAATTGTGATCCCTATATGGTTCTACCAATACAGAAGTAAATACCCTCAAATTAAAGCTGACATTCTGCACTTTAACCTCATAGTCATTGTTTTATTTCAAATCCAATGTGGTGAAGTACAGCAAAAAATTGTGTCACTGTCCAAATACTTATAGACTGCACTGTATGTATTCCATCCGGTTAATGAAAACAATTGTCTCCTAACTACATACAAACACTTTAACATATCCCCAGTCTGCATTCTGCACACTGTGCATTCTTATCACCAAACCTCATCAGGTTCATTGCACCTGATGTCAGCTTTGCAATAGAAATGTTTACTGTATATGTACAGTACATATAATAGAAAATAAAAGGCAGGGGTACATACAATTCAATGCAGATGAGCAGCAATCCAACTCATACATATAAAACTTTCAAAGAGAAATCGATCAGGTCACTTTCATCAGTACAGATCATTTTCATTTAGATTTTCTCTTTATTCAGCATAGGTCCTTTGCACAAAGAAACATTTTTCAGCAGTGAAGTAAAGTAGCAGTTGGAAACAAATGTTCTTGTTAGGAAATCCTTTAAAACCACAGGATTCTGTTCTCAACTTACATCATGGCAAAATAAAGCACTGAAAAGTTTTTTTTTTTGTTTTCCAGATTAAAAGAAGGACCACTGAAAGGCAAGTCTAAGATCCCTGCACTATCAAGTTGAGTTTTATTAATTTGATGGAAGGTATACAAAAGTTTGAGACATGTTTTATGTTCTAGTAATCCAAAGCAAAAAATGCAAATTAAATAAACTTTTGAAGATACAATCTGAGATTTAAGAGTAATGGGGCTAAACGTTATTGACCTTCCATAGGTTTATGTATGTGCAAAACATTTAAAATCAAGCCCCTGTGCTTTTCTGAAAGCCATTCAATAGATATCAGTGTTGTACTACTTCCTTAAGAAGACCACCCAGGCGTTATGAATGGTAAAGGACTACAGTGAATAATGGACGCTCTCCCTATGATTTGCTTGGATTACACTTTCTAAATCCTCCCTTGAAGTGTTGCATGCTATGAACTTGCCTTTTGCTGTACTAACCCTTAATAAAGCATCTGAACATAGCCAACCTAAGTATTATTATTTCAAACTTGCCCACAAAATTATAGTTTAACACAGATCAGTGATGCAAAAAGTAAAGATTGCAGAATTATAATTGGATGTGAACTCATATATAATCAACTAAAAGCTGCTTTGTACTACAACCATGTGATGTTATGCAGCCATGTTCTCTGCCTCCTATATTGAATATTTAGTTTTTTTTATCAGAAGTCAAATATATATTTGCTCACCTCCACAACCTGTGCAAAAAAGGCAATATACTGTATAGAGTGATAAAGGTTAAAACAGAACACAATATACCTGTAGGAAGACAAGAACTTTTATAACATTCAGCTTGCCCATTGTTAAATATAGTGGAGGTTATATGGTGGAACGTGTTTGTTTTGCTTCCAGGTTCCAGTTTCAAACCACAGAAGAGAGTGGAAGCTGTAAATAAAGCAAAACCCAGGTGCATTAAATACTGTACTAAAGTAATGGTGTCTAATTTTTCTCAAATAATTAAATTATTTTTTGCACTTCATTTTCTACGTTATGTAATGTTTAGTTGTTTTATTTAAATTCCTAAACAAGAGGAGATCGTTTGATTATGAAGGAATCATTTATTTTTGTTTTTGCAGTTTTATGCAATATATGCACAGATATGTATATACAATACACGTTTAAGTGTGGAGCTGTGTCAGCGTGCTTTGCCTGGAAAAGAACAAGTAAAGGTTAATTCCACACTGAGAAACAGAGGAAAAAACACATTTCTGCCATTGTGTGCTTTCTTTCTCTTTTTCAGCCTGGAATTAATCTTTATTTGTTACTCTGTACAGTGTGTACAGCACATATTGTTATGTGGGCTTTCTCAGATTTGACCAGGATTGGAAGAAGAACTGAAGAACTGAAATATGAGACAGAAAGTAAATTAAACAAAAAGAACCCTTTTACTAACTGACAAAGCTGGTTTGTTTCTCCAAAAATAATGAAATAAATGAAAAATTTCTGCTTACTACCACAGGATATTAGAGTCCATTGTAGCTTCTCTCAGACCCGTTCTGCTGAGGCCAGTTCTTTAGCAATCACCGCTGCTTTGGTACTGCAATACCCATGATATAATACTGTCTATTAAATATTAGCTTGAGCCAACTTCCAGAGATGCTGAAACCTCTCCTCCATTTGGTCCCAGACACATAGGTTCTGGTGGTCTTTTTTCCATTTAACAGATGGTAAAAGGTTAGGAATGGGTGGAAAGGCCTTAGGGAGGCCTTTATGTCTGATCAAAATTGCAGAACTCACAAAACAATTAAACATTTCTGTGGAATATTGTGCTTTAAAAGAGGCTGTAAAACTAATGTTCAATTACTTACTCTTAAAAAACATCTACCTGGGCCACATAGGCCACTACAGGAATTTATTTCACAATAGTAAAGTTCTTAGGATGAAAAGACACTGAATCTGGACCAATCTATCTTGGAATTAACTTGTTCTAAGGTACAGCAGGTGTGCCCTACATGGCAGTTTGAATCCACATCCTTATTATCAGTTTTGAAAAAATAATACTGGCTTCTTTAAATAGATGCTTCATCAATACAAACTTGTTCAGGCCAGGTGTAGTTCAATGTCAGCTAATACACCTGTATTCCCAAGTTTTTTTCTACATAAATACTAACAACAATTCCTCCTTCTGAACATTGAGAATGAAAACGCGTTGAATGAAAAATTTGGCTTGCATTTTCACTTACTGTTGTTGAATTTCTATTCAGGTTTTATTTTATTTGAAAAGGGATAAAAAAGAAACTCATTGCATCATCACTTGGCTGTCTACTTTTATTATGCCATTATGCTGGCTCATTGGCACTTCTGAAACTGGTCCCAAATCATATTAAAATTTTATGAGGCAGTACATTAGTTAAAAGATCCTTCACCAGTAGCAGTACAGTAATTTTCAATAAAATTCCTATTCCATCACATAAGACAACTCTCCATTTGTTTTTACCACTTCCAGAGGTACCATCCATTACATATCAACCTGTGAGAGGCTGCTGTAATTGAAGAATGAAAGGAAAAAGGTGCATACAATCCATAAATACTCAACATGCAGCTTAAACGTGTTAAACAATATTAGAAAATGCCCTGCAAGCATTTTTGTCACTCAATTTTTCAGACTAATGCAGCCAAATAATTCTGGATGTACAAGATAGGAGTCTTAAGACTACAGAATTCATAAAGCATGAAGAGCACATTTTATGCCCAAGCTAGTATCCATTTGGTTGA